AAATTAATAAAATAAGTAAATAATAATAATAGCAATATTTTGAAACAATCTTTAATTTTTAATTCTAGAATAGGAAATTAAATAGTAATAATAAAATTGATTGGTTAACGTGATCCAACAAACATAATATACACATTATATATCTTGGCAACCTATTTTTGTATTTTTAAAATTGAATTTTGTTGTTGATCGACAAAAATGTTTACAAATTATCATCATTTACATATTATTGGTGTTTAAATGTCTAAATGCATTTGTTTTGAATATTGATCGTAGAATGCTAGTATATAAAATAATCAACACATCAATGATCAAATCAATAGATTAATAATTACCATTTCTATTATTTGTTTGAATTTAGTGGCTGCGGAAGATTTGTAAATTTCAATAATCTACTTGTATAAACAGCATTAGGATGCACTGTTGCTGTAATCGTTGAAGGATCAAATTTAAACTCGTCCATTTCATCAAGCCGCTCTTATCATTATTAAATAAATTATTCCAAAAATCAATAGTTTCTTTATTTTTTATTTTTTTTTGCAGTTGAGCGTTTATTTGGACATTTATGAGCTAATTCAATAAACTTTTGATGTGTTATTGGAGGAGCTAGGCCTTACTCCTTCACATATCTTGATTGCAAGATCTATTATCATTACTAAAAGGTTGTTGACTTGTTGACACTACTGACATTAGAACACCAAAACTGTATATATCTTATGCCTTTGTGTGTGGTTTATTATTATTTAACACTTCTGGTGCTACAAATGGTAATACTCCAAATACATTGTTTTTATATTCGATGTTAAATCTTGATCAGCTGGAATTGATAATCCCAAGTAATACATGCAAAATCATTTTGAAGAATATTACCATTATGAATAATTTCTTCTTCATGAATATCTTTGAAACCTTTAATAATTTGTTTAAGGGTTTTAATTTAAAATTTTTTTGTTAAATAATTATGAAGACTTCCTTTTTGCATAAATCTCATTACAAAAATATATTGGGTTTGTTGTTGGATCTTGCGTTACTCCATAAATATCAATTATCTTGGTAAATCTATGAAATTTTATATAATTCTTGAACTGATGATAAATAAATGAAATAAATAAAATAAATATTTAATTTAGAAATAATAATGAATTTAAAGTTGGTGTCTGCAACTGGTTGTAACAAGTTGCAGACCCTTATATTACAGCTATTATGTTCTAAACTCTGCAACTGGTTGCAATCTAGCTTCATAGCTGCAGATACTAGCTTTATATAATTACATGATAACAACAAATAAAAATAAAATATTACCTCATTTAAAAATTCATTAGAAATACTTTTCAAATTATCTAATTTTTTTAATGGAACAGATTTACTACAATCTACTCAAGTAGCTCTGTATATAGTTGCAAAATCCACCTTCAAATATCTTCTCAATGTTTTTTAAATCCCGATATTGAATCCATTGAAGATATTTATTATTATTGCAAGTTGCTTTGAGTTGTGTATCTTTAACCAATTTATCTATAGTTTCATTACCACTGCTCCAATCTTGTGTTGATGGTTCACGTGATTCATACCACCCAAAGATGACTATGACGGCTGTTTGTATTGTGGTTGTGATGGTATCTTTCATATTTGATGGTTCCAAAAGATTTTGGTACTTTTTTTTTATTTTTATGTTGGAAACACAAATCACACGAGAAATACTAAATTTATAGTAATAGTGGAAATTTTTTTAAGGAAAAATTGGAGTAGAAAAATAATTTTACTATATAATAAGCACTTATCAGATATACACAAACCACCAGCCTTTGACTTTTGATTCCAAGTTTTTCAAACAAATTGGTCAAAATAAATCCGGTAGTTATGATTCCAATCGGATATATCAAAAATAAACCGAAATCCCAATTCTTTAAAATACATTACTTAAATTACGAAAATTCTGATCATGTGAAATAATTGTGAATTTATATAATAATTCTTTGATATATATTTGTGCGTCCTTTTTTATTTTACATTCTTTAATAAATACTGCATTGCAAATAGGGTTGAAAATCGCAATAGATTTCTTTGAAGATAAATTTAAAAAATGAAATTTTTTTGGCACTAAATTTTTCATTCTTCTAATTTATTCGACAGTCTTTTTTGAAACAAGATTTAAATCACACATAGTTTAGTATTAGTTTCAAAAAATAACCTGATCTTGAATGTTTCTAATTAGAGGTTGGAACCGGTTTATTTCGGACAAACGAATTTTAAAACCGGTTGAACCCGTTTGATATTAAGAAATTTTTGAATGGCTTGTCCAATTATTATTTTCTGTAAATAATCTATGTATCAGCCAGCTAAAAAATTTATTTTACACGGCTTATTTGGGTAATTAGATTAAACTGAATTTTATTTTAAAAAGAAATAATGAACATTTCAATTTGTTTTCGCCTAAAGATCTTTAATTTTTTGTTTGTTTTAGTGTATAATAAAAGAATTTTTGAATTGATCGATCTAAACTTTATACTTTGTTTATACGGTTTCATGTTATTATTAGTTTATTTTTATTACTATACAGTCAAATTTCGTTCCAACAAAACTACGAGACGCATAAGAAAATTGCATTTAAAATTTGTTATCATTATACCAAATTAAAATTACCAATCGCGTTTCAACGAATTTTATATGCGAGACAAATTCGTTATTATGACGCGAATTTAATTATAATTCGTTGAGACAAGATTCGATGAAGCGAGGTTTGATTGTACATACTTTTATTATATTATGTAGCAATAATGTCACGAGGTAAGTGGCGAGAGTGTAATAAACATTGCGTTTAAAGATGGCTCCTCGATTAATTGCGACTAGTTGCAACTAATTGTGGTTGCGGTATATGAAAATTGAATTGCAGTTAATTTGCAGTTCCCATGTTTAATTGCGTTTGCATGTTTACATTTTTAAATGTTCTATTTAATTATTACACAATAATTAATGGTCATGTATGTATATAAGAAACTCGAATTCCTAAAGTTGTAAAAACAACTTTGTCTTGAATAAAGTAAATAATAACAAGTTTGAACTTGGAAAACAAATAATCCTATTAACCCAAAACTATAAAACATTAGCTGTTCTCCCACAAAATAAAAACTTATGAATTGGATGGATTATCAATTTATCAATTGAAGGCCGTTTTGCTGTTTTATTATTATAACTGGGTACCCGGTTAATCCGGTTCTGATTTTGAAAAGGTGATTAAACCCTGTTCTTGGAAATAAGGCCGGTTCCAACCTATATTTTAATTCAAGTTTACAAATCAAAAAAAAAACAAGTTTATCCTGTAGATTTTCTTAATTTGGTAGCGTGAATAAATACTTATCAAATGAATTACTATTGTGATTTGCATCATATTTTCCAGGAAATTATCCGTTGCTTTTATTAAGTGGCTCATGCAATTTTTGTGTCTTCCAGACCTTTTTTCTTTGTTTTCGAGCAGAATTATGATCCGTTATTGTTTGTACTGAATAAATTACAAATAATTTTCAATTCCAATTTTTGATTTCGAAACTCGATTTTTTTTGATTGAATTTCACCATCAATATATAATTAAAGTACACATTTTCCTTCTAAAATTCAGAAATAATGACATTGTATATTATTATCTGAAAATTAGTCTATATTTATTTAACAAACACTCTCCAAAATGAATAATTAAGAAATGGACCAAGGAGTTTGGTAGGGATTCTTATATAAATTCAAAGCGGCTTATTAAAAGCATTTACTAAATTCCTATTGAATTTTATACTTTGGTTTTTTATTTCACTAATAATAATAAAAATGGAGATCGTGGAATTTGTCATTGCTACAGAAATTTCTTTGTGGTGTTATGTTCACTGTTACAGGTAGGAGGAGGATTATTGTGAAAATTGGTATGCAGATCAACGAGAAAAATTATAGACTGATTATTTAAACAGCATCACCATAAATATATACAAAGGTGTTCAAATTAATAATAACAATAAATAAATTGCCTCATCAGTAAATTATGAATCATTCATTCGTTACTCAAATTTAAAACTAAAAACTATAATAATTGACCTTATTAAAATCATTTCCATGCCTGACATTTTAAACCATGTTTATTTCCGACAAAAATTTAAATTTCCCAGAAAAATGCAAAATTAGTTGCTTTTATTGGTATAATTTGACCAACATTTGTAAGGTTTCTGGGTTTATTTGATATTGTTCATAATCGATTTTAAGTATTCGAGATGTTTATTCAAATAAATTTTCGTAATTAATCATTCAGATCATTCTCATGTGAATCAAATGAATAGTAATCATCATCAATTTGAGATGCTAACTTTTTTGTCAACAGTAATTAATTAATAATCGTAGTAATTGATATTAAGTTTGAACAAAATAAAGGTTTCAAACAATAAAAGTAAATGAACAGATCATTCAAATAAAAATTTGTAAAACCCTAGACATTTGTAAATACTTTCAAACATTTGGTCAAGATTTCTTTCATCGGCAATTTTGCTAATTTCTTTTACTATCAATTGGAAATTAATTGTTTCTAGAATGGAATTATGAAATAGAAAGAAAAGATATAGTTTGGTTGATATTGATTCTTCATTTTTAGCAGTAGTGATGATTTCAGAAAATTTTTGGACAGCATTCAACACTGTGCCGCAAAAAAATCAATCCTAATCTTTCTTTTTAAACGCCATAACTTCATGTCGAAAATCAATAATGAATTCGCAGATGGGAACTCCATTTCATCACCAAGTTAAATTGGGGAATAAAAAAAGTTTGGATTAAAGAAAGGGAGGGGGTTTTTTGAATTCTTTTTTGTTATTAGAGAAAATTGCTTGACAAGTTGGTTCCCACATAGCTCACCAAGGATTGGTGGGTTGTTATCTTAATAAAGCGATTCAGCCTCAATCTCATTATGTATTTTTTGTTGATCACAGAATTTCGTTGATAATGATAATAATCGGTAAGGGCAAGGCAACATAATGAATGATACGAATGGTAAAAAAATTGCTTATTATAATCTTAGTGTCAGCATCAAAGGATCAGCACACCTGAAACTGTGTGCTCAAGCACAATTCTTTCAAATAAAACTATTACTTTGCCCAATAGTTATAAAATAAATCTATTTATTTGAAACTTCTGCTGCTTGTATAGATATGGAATAAGCAAAGGAAGATCATTTAAAATTTCTAACAAAAAATTTGGCAATTCCAATACTTCCACATCCACCACAATCCAGTAATAAAGACAATTGTGTTATCAGTCTAAATAATTTTGTTCAATGGTTAGGTGATCAAGCAGAAGCTGAAAATGTAGAGCTCTACGTTAACTTTGCTGGCAGTGAGGTAATTGCATGTGAAGCATTCATACGGTTGTGCATGTATTTTCACTCATGAACTCACTCACTCTCTTGCACGTTTACATCATATGATTTACAGGTATTGTATAATCAGGATGGAAGTGTGCGTGGAGTGGCAACAAATGATATGGGATTAGACAAAAATTTCAAACCAAAAAGCAATTTTGAGTGAGGGATGGGTTCCATTCTAAAGTTACACTGTTTGCCGAAGGATGTCATAGATCACTTACCAAGACATTAATAGATCCAGCCAAAGATTGATGTGCATACTATAGGATATCCGATGGATTATAAAACTTATGGTGGTGGATTTATGTATCACATGGAAAATAATATTGTTCAAGTTGGATATGTGGTAGGATTAGACTATCAGAATCCATATTTAAATCCATACAAAGAATTTCAGGTGAATATAAATTTGTGACTGGATAATTAATATTTACCAATTAAAAATATTTTGTTATTTAATGTTTATTAATTAAAAATATTTAATATTTATTTACTATAAATATTAGAAATATAAACTTCATCCGTATATAAGAAAGTTTCTTGAAGGTGCAAAGGTTACATGTTATGGAGCTAGAGCATTAAATGAAGGCGGATATCAGGTACTATAATAATAATAATAATAATCAGTAATAACAATGATATCCATTAATCAATCAATTAATTATGATTAAATTATTAGTCAATCCCTAAATCAGTATTCCCTGGCAGAGCATTGATAGGATGTACAGCCAGATTTATGAATGTCCCAAAGGTCAAGGGAACTCATACTACAATGAAGTCAGGAATGCTTGCAGGAGAAGCAAGCATATAAAGCATTAGCATATAAATCAGAAACTAGCAATTCTAGTTCCGAGCCAATAATCCTTGATGAGTATGAAAAGTCAATTGAGAATTCGTGGAATTGTATGAAGTGAGAAATGTGAGACCCTCAATTAATAACCCACTTGGATTATGGGGTTTCATAGCATATTCAGGATTGGATACATTATTTTTAAAAGGAAGAGTGCCGTGGACATTTAAACATCATGCTGATTGGGCTTCTTTGAAACCTGCAAAGTACATGTAATAATAATAATAATAGTAATAATAATAGTGATAATATTTCTAATTGATATGATTACACAATTATATCTCTAATTATATAGAAAGTGCAAGCCAATAGAATATCCTAAACCTGATGGTAAGATAACTTTTGATCTTCTGGAAAGTGTGTCAAGGAGTGGAACCAATCATTCAGAAAACCAACCTGTGCATTTGAGGTTGAGAGATAAGAAAGTACCGGTTGAAAGAAATCTAAAGATATTTGATGGTCCAGAAGGAAGATTTTGTCCAGGCAAATGCATATTTTTTTTTAAATAGTTGATTTATTAGTCATGATATTTACATTTGATTAACATTTTATTCGATCACATGCGCACATATTGTTTATAGCTGGAGTGTATGAATTTGTCGATGATGAAACGAATTCGGATACAAAGAAAAGACTACAAGTAAATTCACAGAATTGCTTGCATTGTAAAACATGTTATATTAAAGATGTGTCACAGAATGTAGGTTGGGTTACTCCTGAAGGTGGAAATGATTCAAAATATGTTAACACTTGGATCATTTAGGAAAAGATTAGAGCTGAGTTGAATTGAAATAAACAATAATTTTTATGATTGTAATTATAACGTTTACATCATCCATCATCAAAAAAATTGATTAATTTTTTTTTATTTAATAAAATTTTATTTTTTATTTAAATAAAAATAAATTTCTTGATATAATAAATTATGGGAATTATAAATGATTCTTCATATGAAGGTTGCGATGGTTACCTGGAAGTTGTTGAATACGGAAAGAATAAAAAATATAAAAATCGCAATCATTGTTATAATTATGTAGTTGGTGTTATTATCGATGATAGATGTCAACTTTGAATTTTTAATAAATGATTTTGATAAATTTTATCAAGAAACCAAATCAACAATCATCATATTATTTTTGGTGATAATGATGGGTTACGATTAGACAAAGAAAATGGAAAATTTACTGCTACAAATAATGATAAATATGGTAACAATGATAGTAATTATAAAGAATATAATAACAATGACAACAATAACAATAAGAATAAGAATAAAAATAAATGGAAACAAGTTGGCAACAACAACGATGGTGATGATATTGCCATTGAAAAAACTGGAATTTGTATGGATTGGCATCGTTATGATCATTATGGTATGCCTGGGCAATCAATTGAATCTGAATCAGAACATGAAGAAATAATTCGTGAAAAAGAGAAGGGCGGGGAGGAAGAGAAAAAGAAAGAGAAGAAAAATAAAGAGAAGGGTAAGGAAAAAAAGAAAGAAGTGAAGGGGAGGGAGAAGGAGAAGGAAAAGGAGAAAGAGGAAAAGGAAGATGGGGGTAAGATAGAGAAGGGGAGGTGGAAGAGGAAAGGGGAACAAATAAAAGGAAAAAACCAACCAAATAAGAAGCGATCAAATCAAAAACATCAATTTAATCAGAATCAAAGCCAAAACCAATCAAATCAAACAAAACAAAACCAAGATCAATATCAAGCTGGAAATTCATCATCCAAATCTCATAATCATAATTACTATAATAATCAGAATAATAGTAACTCTAGTAATTCCAATAATTCAAATCAATATTTGCCAAATAATAGTAAAAAAAGAGCCATTTATAATTATCTTAACAATGAATATTTTAGATAGTAACTCAACAATTATAAAATCAATAAAAAATCAGTTAAAACCTAATTGATCTCCAAAATTCTTAGCGCTCAGTATAACACTTGGAAATAAAAATATTAGCAAATATTTTGATATGAAGCAAGAGGATTGTGATGGATTTGTATTATATGAAGTCACATATAACGGATTTCGTAAAAATACAGATTATTATTATGAAACGGAATTTCGAAGACTTATAAAGTTTATTCTAGATTGTTCGTTGAATTGTTGGATAAACCAATTTGGAATAGTGGAGATTTTAAATGTGGACTCTAGAGAAATGAAAATAAACCCTTTAACAGGATTTATAAAAAGCATTCATGATATTTGTGATATTCATACAATAGATATTATTGTGATAAGAGTCAAGTTTAACTTATAGTGTACGTGAACTTCGAGAGTCCAGGGCTATGTTGTTATTGGCTCGCAGAGAAACGATGAAAGATGCTTTTATTTTACTTATGGGCCATTTGGTAAGTAAAGAATAATTAGAATTAATGCGTTCTTGCTCACATTAATATTAACATTCATTTATTTATTTTCTCGTTGTGATGAAGTATGAAAATTATAGTAGATCAGGAAAAGGAATAATCAAATTTTATAATAGAGATGAACTTTATTATGAGTTTACTAATTTTTATAGTCCAATGAAGAAAATATTGATAGACGGTGCAGATTGGGCCAACTGCTGAACATTATTGTAAGTGATTCTTTATATCTTTCTCAAAAATATAATATTAATAATATAATTATCAATGGATTGAAAGTTCAATTTGAAAATCCAACAATTCGTAAAAGAATTCAATATGCAAAATCAGCAAGAGAAGTATTTTTATTTGCTAGATCATGTGATAAAGAGAAAAGAGCAGATTGGGAATCGGCGGTGTCAGAAGACAGGAAGATATTCAATGAATTAATTATGAAAAAAGCATTAAAATGTAAATTTTCATAATTTCGCAATCTACAATTTAAATTACTTTCTACATGTGGTGCAGAGATAATAGAATATACATCGAATGATAGGTATTGGGGAGATGGTGGGAATGGCGAGGGATTGAATAGATTAGGTCAACTATTAAAAGAAGTCAGGTCAGAGATTTTTCGAGCTGAGCTTGACAGATTAATTAATGAAAATGATGGATTAAGATGTCAATATCAAAGATGGCTTGTGCGTAAATTACAATATTTAAATCACTTGAACTTTGACGGTGGTAATAATAATGTTAAATCATAATTGATTCAAATTATTTGTATTTATATATAAATATTTGAATTCTTGCAATTTTTTAATTTTTTCGCACAAGTATATAAAATATTAACACTGTTTCCAGATAAAATAAGCAATGGATGCTGAATACACAATTTTTCATGTAATTCATTATTGCATATTGGGAGAAAATGCTTCAAATGTTACTCGAAAAAATAGTTGCATGCATATTATAATAAAAGGAATTTTCTATTATTATTAATTTAAAATAAATAATATTTGTGATGTATTAATTGTAAACAAAAAAAGGTCTAGTTTCAGATGTAACAATGGCGGTGGCGAGAAGAAAATAACCCAATTGACTAATTTCAAAATTGTCTTCTCCGCCAAAGGCGCTACCAACAAAGCAACTTTTACCTGAAGAGAATTCACCTGCGGAAGAACATCATCACCAACATCTTTGTCACCATTCAAGGAAACAACAAATTTGGAAGAAAAGGTTCTAATAACAATAATCCGGACAACAAAAATTTAGGCCACCTTCAATCATAAGTCAATGATTACAAATTCAAATAGTACGCAAAATAGTTGATCCAACATTACAAAATATTTATTTCCGCCGCCACTACCACCACCACCATCATCATAATCATAATCGTTAATATTGTTAATGTCATTCATTAGCAACTACATCATTAACAACGATAATGATAAATTGGTTAATTGCAATGTCGGGGTTTATCCTTAATAACATGTGAAACCTAACCTTCCGAGTAAGTATAGACTTTGGGAGAATAATAATGCAAGAATCAAAATTTAAATTGATCAATTTATTATTTTCCTACTTAATAATGATTGTTGCTTATATTGCTTATATATACTTTTTATTTAAATTAGTTATTTATATTTATACTATTTAAAAATAATGATATTATTTATATACTATTAATGTTATGTGCATATATCTATTTTTTCTTACATATATTCTCTTGTATTGTTTATTTACATTGGGAAATCCATTGATTCAGCATTGATTCTCCTCCTTTATCTCTCTTAATTCAGCATCATAAACGATCAATTCCTGATCTTCATTTTCTTTCTTCCGCCCATAGAAACGATACTGATAAAAAAACATTTTGTAGGCACTTAGTTCTTTCATGTACGAAAGAATGTATTTTTCTTCGTATTCGTCCTCTGTTACATTTAAGAAGTGAGCCGCCAGTCTCGAGCTTAAAAGTCGGAACGTGCGAAGGTTAATATATTCAGACAACTTTCCCAATATTCCCCCATGTTGACCTATCGGTATTTTTGTCACTTCACAGTAGATATGAGAAAACTCTTTCGTGCTTGCCATTATATCACCGATATGCGGTAGCATGTAGGGGTTTTTGTTAATGGACTCTAAGTAATTCCTTACTATTATATTGTATGAAAAATTGAAGAAAAATTTAATTTAGAAATTTATTTCGCATCATCTCCTTCTCGCAATTTCCTTTCACGACCAGAAAAAATACTTACGGGCAGCTAATAGTTCATTAGATTTGGGGCCTGCATTTTGTGGTATGGTGCCGGATTCTAGAATCTCTAGATAGCCACCAGGTTTCACCACCCTCAAAGCCTCCTTCAAACCTTTTTTCCAATCAGCCTCTGAAAACCACATGACAAAACCTCGGTAGTGAACAAACTCAAAATGATTGTCTTTGAACGGGAGTTTATCCAATAAATCACACTTGATAAATTGGGCATTTGTGGGTTTTTGATCTGGAAATATATTGTCCTTATCTATTCCAATTATTCTGGAATTGGGGTAATCTACTGACATTTCAGCGACCCAGGTGCCCGGCCCACACCTATATAATATGAGGGAAGAAGGGAAGGTGGAAGAAATTACATTATTAATATTATTTTATAAGAAATAGTTATTAAAATTTATCAATGCGTAATATATACCCAAGATCTAGTACATCGCAGCCGGACCGTAAAGATTCCTCTATATGGGACTTGTAATTACCGTCCCAGGTAACTCGGAACAAATGATGCTGCAATTGTATGCGGTCTATCTCGTCATCACATGCTGCGGAAAGAAACTCTTTCAGAATTTTATTAGAATTTGCCGTCGAGGATTTATTCTTGGACCAAAATTTTAATTTTGATATTCTTGGGAGTCTATTACTATTAGTCATTTCTTCAATATTTGTTCTATTGGAATCGTTAATGTTACTAGTCTGAGGGCTATTATCATTACTACTATTATCATTACTATCATTCCTATATTTATTTTTATTTAGTTTGTTGTGGTTTTTTCTGCCACTGTTTGTTGATATTTGAATTCCCATTTTTAAAAGGAAGAATGCGTAAGAAATGATGAGTGGATTAAAGAGTGGATTATTTATTAATTTAAAATATTAATTTAAATACTTTAGAAATTTTAAACAAAATAAAAATTTAAATACTTAAAAATTTTAAAAAAGAGAGAAAAACAATATTTATATATTGATAAAATAAAAATTTACACAAAATAAATCAATTTACATAACCAAACAAAATTCTATTGGTGTTAATTCTATTTAAAATAAAGTTTCATTGATTTTTTTTGTGGAGTTATACAAAGAAAGTCGTATGTATAATCTTTTTTTTATTAGTCAAAAACTTTTTTCAATTGGTACCGGCTTTAATTCGTCAATAATGATAAATTTTAGATCAAATATTAATATATGCCCTATCGATGTATTTTGGTTCTTTTTCATTTTTTCCATTTTCAGTTTTTTTTTTTTAAAATATAAATATTTACACAAACAAGTAGAGCATGGTGGAAATTCGTAACATTAGAAGATCAAAAAAAAAAAATTAATATTAATATTATTGATTACAATTTTTATGAAACCTATTGGATAATTTGGATTATGTACTTTGAATCCAGATGGAGATAAGTAATAAATTGAAGGGGTATTTGGAGTATATATTGTCATAGTCATCATATGTGCAACTTGTGAAGTTGAAGTAGTGTTTGGCATGATAGTCATCTATACTTAAAATAAAGTATTAATTTTCTAAAAAAAAAAATTTTAATTTTAATTTTAATAAATAATATATATATTATAAAATATTATAAAATATAAATAAAATTATTTACCTTTTTTTTTTAATATTCTAGTACACTCAAAGCATGATCTTTTTCTATTTTATTAGTCTGAGGGCTATTATCATTACTACTATTATCATTACTATCATTCCTATATTTATTTTTATTTAGTTTGTTGTGGTTTTTTCTGCCACTGTTTGTTGATATTTGAATTCCCATTTTTAAAAGGAAGAATGCGTAAGAAATGATGAGTGGATTAAAGAGTGGATTATTTATTAATTTAAAATATTAATTTAAATACTTTAGAAATTTTAAACAAAATAAAAATTTAAATACTTAAAAATTTTAAAAAAGAGAGAAAAACAATATTTATATATTGATAAAATAAAAATTTACACAAAATAAATCAATTTACATAACCAAACAAAATTCTATTGGTGTTAATTCTATTTAAAATAAAGTTTCATTGATTTTTTTTGTGGAGTTATACAAAGAAAGTCGTATGTATAATCTTTTTTTTATTAGTCAAAAACTTTTTTCAATTGGTACCGGCTTTAATTCGTCAATAATGATAAATTTTAGATCAAATATTAATATATGCCCTATCGATGTATTTTGGTTCTTTTTCATTTTTTCCATTTTCAGTTTTTTTTTTTTAAAATATAAATATTTACACAAACAAGTAGAGCATGGTGGAAATTCGTAACATTAGAAGATCAAAAAAAAAAAATTAATATTAATATTATTGATTACAATTTTTATGAAACCTATTGGATAATTTGGATTATGTACTTTGAATCCAGATGGAGATAAGTAATAAATTGAAGGGGTATTTGGAGTATATATTGTCATAGTCATCATATGTGCAACTTGTGAAGTTGAAGTAGTGTTTGGCATGATAGTCATCTATACTTAAAATAAAGTATTAATTTTCTAAAAAAAAAAATTTTAATTTTAATTTTAATAAATAATATATATATTATAAAATATTATAAAATATAAATAAAATTTATTTACCTTTTTTTTTAAAAATATTCTAGTACATTCAAAATATGATCTTTTTCTATTTTATTCATTTTGTTAATTAATGAACGATAAGTAGTTGATAAGCCAACATTTGATAGCATGTTAATTCCAGAACATGATGTGCCAGTTCCAACTAAAAACAATCTCATATCATCTTTAAAATAAGTACAATGTTTATTTCTAATATTTACTAATTGGTAAATTAACACCATAATTTTTTTTTAATACTTTCAATTGTTTTTTGATTTTTACTTTAAGATTTGTTGATTGAACTAATGTATTAAAAAAATGAACAAATCCAGGATGCTTATTACTCGCATATTCCATAAAATTGTTTACACCATAGATTGGATTTATTTTTTCCTTATGTTGAGCATCATATAAATTTTTTGTAAAAAATTTGTTTCTTCTAAAAATAAATAAACAGTAATATTAAAAAATAAGTATAATAAACATATATATAAAATGGAAAATTTTTTGATGCTTTTATATAATATTTAAAATATAAGTAAATTATTTACCTGATATTAAAAATAATTCATCAAAATTTTCTTTTAATTGGTCTAATTCACTTTGTATAAATTGAATATTTGCCTTAAGTTGAATATTTTCTGATGATTTATTTATTAATTCGTTATATTCAGCTCCATGTAAAATAATTTTTCTTTTTTTTTTTCATGTAATGGTGATTTTAAACAAAAATTTTCTTCATCATTATTCTTATTATTCTTATCATTCCTATCATATACCACAAGATCATTATAACATTTATGGCATAACTGTGAACATAAATTCTCTTTGTTATTAGACAAAACTTTTCGTAAGGTATCTTCATTTAACCTCCGGGAAGTAGTGTTTTCATAACTGCTGAAATTACAAATTTCACAAGGTCCAAAAATTACTTCATTTCCTTCCCATCTTCACACCAAAAAGTTTTCTAATAAAATGTCAACGAAATTTCTGATCTTTTCTGATCTAGACTTAGAATATATGAAGGCGTTTATGTGCAAAATTTGAATACACATTCATTATTACACTTTACCCTGGCATTTGGTTACACTATTGTAATTCTACTTTAAACAATATAAATAATTATGTTACACGAAAAATAGAATTTCCACCATGCTTGCAATGTTCATATATCAAATTTAAACAAAGGTTTATTTTACAAATCTAGAGGAGATAGAGTTTGAATTTTCATATTGAAAAAATTTACATATATTGATCAGTGAAAAATCCGCACATATGATTTTTTATATGTGCGCTCAACTATGTTTGTGTTTATTATAATTTGTAACACCCCAATGTGACATGTCCTGTGACTAGTATGTTTTCTGTAAAAACCGTAAGATTCCATGCATTTTTCCGTACCTATTCCATAAAATAATCTGGTTCATGTACTGTTTTACTGTACAAATTCCATACATTTTCCATACATTTTCCATACCAAATTTTTTATAGGGCCCTTCTTCAAAAAAAAACAACTCCAGGTGAACACAATTATCAGTGCCTATGGATTGCCCCAAATATTTTACACTTTGACTATGTCTGAAGGCAAATGTCTTCAATAATTGCTCTAAAGCCTACATATTAACATGCTTCAAAAATTTCATATGTTATAATCTAAGATCCTCCAATTCTCTGTTGTAATTTTTATCATATAATTTTGGCTACTTTTTTATTAAAAACAATATTTTTATCAACCGCCATTTTTTTCTTAACACCCTGTATGGGAAAGACCAATCGAAATTATTATTATTATGAAAAGGTATGACTGGTGTCCCCTATGTCCTCATTCAAAAGGAAAACGTACATCAAAATATATATTCAAAGATCTGTTAGGAAAAAAGTTCCCACAATGTGCACCGAAATTCTTACAAGGAATGCGCTTCGATGGATACAATGAAGAATTGAAACTAGCTTTTGAATTTAATGGACAGCATCATTACCATCTTAACCCAATGTTCCATAAAAGTGGGAAAATAGACTTTAATGAACAAATTCAACATGACCAAAAAAAGCGGAATATCTGTAAGGAGTGAGGTATATGTCTCATCTAGATTCCATATGATGTAGATCTTTATAACTTTATCCAGGAAGCTTTAATCAAGAACGGCTATAACTGAAGATAATTTGATTTTAGTTGAGGTTGTATTACGAATATTATTATAGTTGGCTTGGTCTAAAGACCTCCTAAATTTTGGGCAAATTTTAAAAGTATAGAAGTCACTTTCCGTCCTACCTTTTAAAAAAATAGCTCTATTAGTTGATAGAATATGTCTTTGGTTTTAATGTAATAGAAATTTTCTCAATAAAATTATTTTTTGTAGAGTTCTATTCTTTTTTAAAACATGTACTTTACTATGCTCGCGAGGAATTTGTCCGCTAGGATCATTTCTAAATTTCGGAAAATATTACCAAATTTAGACTAGCACTTGAATATCGTATCTAAATTTGGCAGTAAGAAAACTAAAATCACGTGAAGTCCTATTTTTTGAAAAATTTTATTACATTTTTGAACGAATTACAAAATTGCTATTTTGAAATTTGGCCGCATGGCGCAGCAATAGGAGGTATTTAGACCGAGCCAACCATAGCATCAATATTTTTTTTGCTCATAAGTGCGGCTACATCTGCTTGATTTTTAACTTCTGTATTAATTTCATTCATCATAATATTTCAACTTTTTACAGATACTAACTAATCAACTGAATATTCTACTACGAGGCGAGTGATACATATAGAAAATAAAATAAACTAAGCCATTGATCTTTGGTAAGGCATTCCTCAAAATTGTATTGATATTATGGCCGTAAAATAATACCTCCTTTATAAATCTGCATCTAATTGAGTCTGATAGAAATTTTTTTTTGTCTCGAGTTGATTGATTTCAACATTTTTTTGTTTCAGCAACTCCATTATATGTCTTTTTTATCTAATCAATACTTTCGAACCCCAATGATTTACTTATTTTCCTTGTGAGTATAGTTTAATGTAGGTACCGGTACATATGAATAGAAGAAATACTTGCACCAGCTGTCCATGGCCACTACCACCATCATTACTGTTAACGCA